TCAGATTTTTACTGCTAACAGTAGTAGAAACTCCTCTTTTTTCCCTTGACATCTTTTGCAAAACTGAATTCCAGGTGAGCATCAGCCTCTTTGACACTACCCCTGTATGCCCAGGCAATGTTTCTCAATTTTTTCCCACTGATCAGCCTCTGATGCACTGCATTGTTGGCTGTTTGTTTCACCTAGACATCTGCCTTCTTTTTTCACTTTGTTCATCCTTATTGCAAGGAGGATGCTCTTCTTTATAGGCTGACCAGCTTTCCTGTACTCCTTTGCCCTTCTGAGCTCAGTCCCATGAAATCTCACTTGCCTGAATAAACCAAATCTGCTGTCCTAAGCAGTTTCTGTGCTCTCTCAGTCCTGCCACCCTCCCTTGTCTCAGAAACTTGACCTCCACTACATCAAAATCCATAACTGATCATCCCCACCCCAATCAACTTACGGTATCAATACAGGCTAAGGGATAAACACAATACAACAGCTGGAAGATTTAGACTGAAAGCAACTTTTTTTTTTTCTCTGATACAAGTGTTTTGTTTTTGGGGTGTTTTTTCCAGCTTGTGTTTTTGAAAGTCAAGAAGAGCATGCATGGAAAAATTTGAAATAGAAATCAAGTTTTGCAAAATTCCATTCATTAGGTAAAGTACCGAAACCCTGTTTTCATTTGTTACAGTAAGCTCACAGTTGGATAGGGCTAAAATCTGTCCTGTGATGGAGCACCTTTCATCTTTGGTTGTGATTTGTAGATTTGGCAAGCTAAGATTGGGACACTTACTCTGAAGCCCTGAAATATAGGGACATAGGCTTTTCCAGTGAACTGGTATTAGTGAGCTTTCCGTATATTTACAATATCTGCAATTCTATTTTCATTTAACAGAATAAAAGACAAAATCATAGAAATTCTCATGTAAGGTAGTATGTATATGATAGTCTTTAGTCTCACATATATGGTTAAAGTTATATGTTTGCTAATAAATAGCTGATTTGAAGACTGAGAAGGGCACAAAGAAAAATTCAAGGGCTGCCTTCTCATGCAGTCTTGAGTGTTAAAACTTACTTCAAACCCTGGTCCATAAACCCTGGCATAAATGTTGATTTTGAGGGTTTGATTGCAAGACAGTGGTCCAAGGTGGGAGGTGATTTCTTTCTTAGTAAGGAGTGCTTTAAATCCTGAATCTTTTGCTTTATATATATATATGTCTATCTCAACAGGGATGCATCAAGGATGTAACTTCAAAAATGTCCTCTCCAATATCAAATATTTCTCTGTGTAAGACCTTATGTGTTATTGTAATGGAGTTTGGAAATCCTTTCCCAGGTGCTGGATCTGCACCTTTTTCAGGAAAGAAGTGAGGGCTGTCATCTGAGCCAATAACAATTTTTAAAGTGCCCTATTTTCCTGAAGTAGTAAAAGCTATATTTTTTATAGCTGAGACTATTTTTTGAAGTCATGTCCACACAAACCAAAAGGTATAAAATTTCTTTGGCTGAGCTGGAGAGCAGAACGGTTGAAGTAAATTCCTGAGCCTCCTTCCTTCGAGAGCATCAATCGAAGGAGGACAGACCATGGTCATGGCAAGATTTTCCCAGGGAAAACACGGGGGTCTGAACTGAGAGATTGCGGGGCGGAGACAAATGAAACTCCGTCGGGTACAGATTTCTCTGCCCTTATCTTGTCCCAGGCACATGGCATCGGCAAGGGCCCAGACTCACTCGCGCACATGCGAGACACACGTCGTTCTGTCGGGAAAGGCGCCAGAGACGCGAAATGCAATCCAATGGCTTCCCCCCACCCTCCTCCCAGGAAGAGTTATTTTAAAACTTCAGGCATAGTCCTCGGTAGCAACAGTGACCAGAGATAAAAGGGGAAAGGGAGGAAATGCGGGAGGGAGCGTAATAACAATGGAAGTGTTAAAACTCTCTGAGGCTGTTGCAAAGCGGCTGCAGCAGCATCAGCATCATTAGCAGGGAGAGCCGGGACGGGGCGGCAGAGATGGCTAGGGGGTCGGGGCAGTCCGGGGAGCGGCAGCGGAGCTGCCGAGAGACACCTTGCGTGGGTGGTCCCGGCCCCGCCCGGCAGTGGGGGCACGGCCAGGACCGGCGCTCCCTGTGGAGTGGAGCCGCAGGAAGTGGGAACCCAAGGGGGCTGGCAGGGGGGCTGGCACGGCCCCGCCCGGCCCGGCCCGAGCCCGGAGTAGCCGCCCGGGGAGAGCCGCCGCTGCCCACCATGTCGCTGCCGGCGGGGATGGAAGGGTCCCGCGGCGCCCGGCACAGCCTCGCCCCGCCACCCCAGCCGGCTCAGGGCTCGCTGTCCGGCACCGCCGCCTCCGCCCTCCCGCCGGTGCTGCCGCCGACACCGCTCCGCTCGGACGAGCCGCAGCGCGGCCGGCCATGCCCATTCCCATTCCCGTGCCCCCCGGGCGTGCTGCCAGCCCTCCCGCTGATCGGGCTGGCGCTGCTGCAGATCGGCCTGGGCAGCGCCCTGGTGGCGCTGAGCTTCGCGACCGTGTGGCTCAGCAGCGCCGCGAGGGTGAACGCGAGCTCCGCCTGGGCCGGCTCCGTGGTAAGTCGGGGCACCTGCGGGGCGAAGCGGGCGTCTGTCCCGCTCCTCCGCCCCCGCTCGGAAATGGGGTGCGGGTAACGCTTTCCCTGACACTTTAGCCAGGGTGTCAGCTTGACCCCAGTGGGGAATTTATTTACTGACGTGCTTCCCCCACGCCAAAAAAAAAAAAATAATAATAATAAAAAAAATTATGCAATTAGAAACAAGATTTTCAAAAGTCACTGTGTACGTAGATGTTACGTATTGCTTTCACGCATTGTGTTGTGTATGAATTTTATGCGTTGCGCCTTTCCTCTCATGACAGAGAAAACAGCAATGTTCTGGGGGAAAAAATAGATGGGGTTGTGACAGTTTTGTAAAGAGCACGGAGGGGAGTTATTCCATCTCATGTGGGACCCTACTTTAAACCACAGCTTTATAAATACAGAATATATATAATAGTTTGTGTTGCAGAAGCTCAACAGTGGTAAGCAGAATTCAACAGGAATAGAAGGGTCAGGGTGGTTGCTCACAATTTCTGGGCCCTCGAGCAATGAGCAAGTTGTGTTCTATGGCTGGCACACTCAGCTCCTACTGCTAGGGTAAAGAGTGTCAGCCTGTCTCTTGGTTTAAACATTTAAATTACGTTGCCAGTGTTGTTCACCACCTGTGAAAACGTACTCCATGACCTGTGGTTTGGGGATTGAGTAGTTTCTGTTTGTCTGTATAATGAAAGTACATAGTCCTTGGGTGGTGGTGGGAAATCCAGACAATCCAAATGTGTATTTTTAGTATCTCCCTTGTGATGTTTCATCTTTTTTTCTTTAGGTTAAAAGAAGTTTAAGTATATGTAAGCTCTGGACTTTCTTTGAACCTTGCACACAGAACCATGCATATGCTTTTAAAATGTTTTAAAATGGCACATGGAAAATAGAAGTATTCAGTATCTTTAATAATGAAGAAGAGTATTGGTTTTGTTTGGGATTTTTTAATGCTATCTCTGAAACAATAGTACACTCAGAAAAGTTACTGAAAATACCTTGTGATTGTAACAACATGAGTGAAAATTTTAGCCCAGAAGCAACCTGGAAGAGTAGTGGTCATTAAAAGCTGGAATTGATGGTGTCTGAGTGATTTTTTGGCTTGGTGGTTTTTTTTTTGTTTGCTTGTTGTTTGGTTTGATTTTTTTCATTATAGATGCAACATGATGACTTGTTAAGTGCAAGTCAGGAAAGGTTTGAGAAAGACTTTTCTTATTGTAAAGCTTTAACAAGTGTAATGATTTAAATCTTGGTGTCCTTAAGGCAAAAAAGCAATTCACATCAGTATTGGTGTGCTTGTTATAAAATCATGTGATCACTTTGCAGTCAGAGAATTCAAAAAATACTTTGTTATGAAACTGCAGAGTTATGTATGTGGTTTTGCAACACCAGTGATGGTACCAGTGGGTGTTTTGGCCAAGTCATATATGCACATTATGCTAGATCAGATTGATCATGGTCAAGTGAATAAAGTTACAGAAGGGATTTAATAAAAATGCTAGTGGATGACTTCTTGCTTGGTCTAGTCTTCTTGAATTTCTTTAGGGTAGGAGCTTAATGTCAATTGGCTTAGTCACAAAGGGTTAAAAGTGTACCTGTTGATTTGCAGGACATGCTGAAAAACTGATTTTCCTTTCTCTATAGGGTTCCCATTCTTCTGTGAGAGAGTATTTGGGTATGCTATTTGTTTCTGTTCTACAGCAATTCTTTCTCCTTCCTTAACTGTTTTGCCCTCTAAGGTAAACTAATTTGTGGCGTTCAATTCTGTTATTCAGCAAGTTTGGTCTAACAACTGTTGTTGCTTTTACTTCTCTTCTTTCCTCGTGCTGATACTGGCATTAATCTGTTTAAATAGCAAGTCATTTCAGGGAGATAGTGCTGCTGCTTCTCAGTGGTTTTGATAGGGTTCATGCTCTGGGTTTTAGTTCACCAAAATGGTCAGAAGAGGGCCAAATTAGCACAAGGGAAGAAAGAGGCAGCCACTTCATGAAATGCTGGAATGGTGGCACAGGGTGGAGACACAGAGCCAGTTTTTAGATTTACTTGGCCATGATGCAGAGAACAAGTGCTCAGTTGGCTGAAAATAATTGTTTTAGTCAATTGTGAAGATCAGAGTTGCTGACATACTACTTGTCCCCACAGATGTTCCCTGGGAGGAAAAAAATTAGATAAAAGTAGATTTAAATTTGGTTGTGTTATTTCACAGGATGTTTTTAGGAGTGAAGAACCTCAGAAGCACAGGTTGTTATTCTCTGAGTGCATCTTCATATCTTCCCAATGTTGTTGTAGTGTTCAAAAGTACCATTCATCAGAACAGTAATAAAAAAATGAGTAAATAGTGTTTCATGAACAGTTGTTCACTTCTTGATGTTTTTGATGTTGTAGGCAATGTTATGTGGAATCTTTGCGTTGACAACATGGAAGAGATCAGTGATGATTTTGGTAAGTATGGATTAAAATTTTGTAATAAAATTATCAAAACATGATCCTGATTTGTCATTGTTAAAAAGAGAAATCTCTTCTTTCTCCTTGAAAAAACAGCCTGTATGGTTGAGTCTCTCCTTTTAAACTATGGAATCATAATTATTGAAAGAGGAGTCAAAGGCCATGAAAGGCCATATTCTTTCCTTCATGGATGGAGTCCCCAGTAAGGGCAAGAAGGAACCATGTGTGGAAGAATAGTTAGTGTTGTTTACAGGGCACATTTTGTGGTTTTGTATGTATAAGGAAGTGCTAGCTTAGAATAAATAATTTAGCTCTCTGAGGCAGTGCTGCTTAAACTGAAATAGGGGAGATAGCTTTAAAGCTTAGCTTAGTTGTAGTGTTTTTTGATAGCAGCTGTGAGAGCTAGCCGAAGTCCTGCCAGTGTTACCGTTTCAGATACAGTTGACATTGCATTGCAGTGAGAGAAGTAAATTATTTGTTATCTGTTTCTAGTTGTAAGGGAAATCTGAAACTGTGTGGCTCCTAATGTCTCAGAGTTGAGATTTGGAAAAATGTTTTGGAGTTACTTTTGTTTGTGGGTTTGGGGAGTTTTTTGGTGGGTTGGTTGGCTTGGGTTTTTTTTGTTTATTTGTTTGGGTTTTTTTTCCTTACTGTCACTTCTGAAGACTTCTTCCAGGCCAAAGCAGTTGTTTCATTTTTGTGCAGCACTTCTTTAGGATTCACATAGACTTCAGTGAGGAGTACCAAGTATCAGATGTGTGAGCTAGGTATAGAAACAGAGTCATAGAATAATCAAGGTTGGAGGAGACCTTTAAGATCATCGAGTCCAACCATCAACCCAGCACTACCACTGTAAGCCCTAAAACACTAAACCACATCAAACCTAGTGCCAGATCCAGACACCTCTTAAACACCTCTGGAGTGGTGCCTCGACTACCTCCCTGGACAACCTAATCCAATGCCTGACTACACCAACAATGAATTTTTTTTTTCTGATATGTAATCTGAATCTTCCCTGTCTCAGCTTAAGGCCATTTCATCTTGTTCTTTCACTGCAGGCATGATAGAAGAGACCAGCACCCACCTCAATGCAACCTCCTTTCAGGTAGTTGTGGAGAGTGATGAGGTCTCCCTGAGCCTCCTCTTCTTAAGACTAAACAAACCCAGCTCCCTCAGCTGTTACCTGTAGGACATGTTTTCTAGACCCTTCACAAGCCTTGTTGCCCTTCTCTGGATACACTCGAGCACCAAAATGTCATTTTTAAAGTGAGGGGCACAGAACTGAACACAGCACTCGAGGTGTGGGCTCACCAGTGTTGAGTACAGGGTTGATGGTCCTGGTGGCTACACTATTCTTCATGCAGACCAAGATGCCATTGGCCTTCCTAGCCACCTGGGCACACTGCTGGCTCATACTGAACCAGCTGTCAACCAACATCCCCAAAATTGTTGTTTCTCAGTGCACATTGGACAACACAGGCAGAGCAAGGCAAGTTTTTTGAATTCTGTGGCTGTAGAGAGGAGCTTGGTGTTGAGGCCTCCAAATCTGGAAGAACTGTGTTTTCATCAAAATAAGTGTAAATGCCCTCTGTCTCAAAATGCCTGAGGTTTGCACAGTGCTCCCTGTTCCTGTATTGCTCATGTTTTGTATTGTTTCTTCAGCATATTGTTACTGTAGTTTCCTTTTGTCTGCTGTTGCTCTTTCACTCTTTTACATTCTCCTATGTATAAACCTTATAAGACTTTCCTAATTTTACTTAAATATGAAAGCACCAAGCTCTTCCTGATCCTTTCTTTTATATCAAATGATCTTTAGGATGATCATGCCCTGGGATTGCCGTGGGATGTTGTGTAACAGATGAGACGGGTTTGATTCCCGGTCAGGGCCACTCCCGGGCAGATGGAGCTTGTTAGCCCTTAAAGGCAACCCATCTACGTCCTAAGGACCTCGCTGCCACCGTCCAAGCTCGCTTGGCCCCGGCAGATGAACCTTAGGATTAAAGGGTGGGCTCAGTTCCGCGCACACTGTGTCTCACCTAAAAAATCCAATGCGCAGGCTGGAAGGCGTAAAGACCTTCCCCGGATCTTCGCTCGCGAAGACTGGCCATTATATTATTATTATTTTATAGAGGTCTGATTTTTGATAGCCAGATTAGATCAGCCTTGACATTGGAAGCATTTCTTTACTGAATAAGTGGTCAAACTCTGGAACAGGCAGAGTGGTCAAGGCCTGGAACTGGTTTCACGGGGAAGTAGTTGATGTCCCAAGCTTGTCAGGGTTTAAGAGGCATTTGGACAACACTCTGTAGCACTGGGCTTTGACTTTGGGTCAGATTGAAATGGTCAGGGAGTTGAACTAGATGATCGCTGTAGGTCTCTTCCAATTGAAATACTCTGTTCTGTGTGCAAAAAAAAAATAAAGGACATTAGCATTAAACACTTCATGAAGCTAAGGAAATCATGCCTTGAACTAGCTACAGTATTTCAGGTTCAGATTGTTAGTTTCTGTGAGCATATTTATCTTGTGCTAAATGCTAATATATCTACACTCTAGTAACTTGAACATTTTCTCTAGGGAGTTATGAGGAGTTACGTGAATTGTAAAAGCAAGCTTCCTGCATATCTCAGCAATGAGACTAATTTCATAGTCATGACTTAGAGTGATGACATTCACAAGCAAAACTATAATATACATTCAGAACTAAAGCATATCATTTTTTTTGGCTGTGGTTGTCCTCCCCTCTTTGCTCCTTATGTAAGGCTTAGCACTTGTTTCTTGTAAATACGCTTCTAATGGATTTATCTTTCCCAGCTTTTGCACTGAATCCCTTTTCTGCTTGCCTGTACAAAGCTGTGAAGGCAGCAGAGATTGTACAGTAGTGTCCCTGATAGCCCTTAATTAAGCAGGTGTCAGGTGTAAAAATGCCTTTATGCAGCAAGTGAGCTTTGTGGAAAGAAGTGGTTGCACTTGGAGGTGGCTTTATAACATCATTATGGAACCCAGATATTTAACATGTTGGGTACCTGTCCTAGGGCCTTGCCAGAAATCTAAGGAGTGATATCAATTACTGTGTTTTATGTTGCAGCAACTTACATCTGCTTTTAGTTGTCTTTATGCAGAAACTTTGTACTGTGCTCAACAGTTAAAGTGTAAAGTTTGTAGGATTAAGTGGTGGTTATCCTTTTTCCCTATATAGTTATGTCTTAATTTACAAATGCCTAAGGAAGGGCCTCTGTTCATCTTTTTATGTGTTTGAGCTGTTTTCAATCACTCGGTTTCATAATTTCTTCAGATAGTGCAAATACCACCCCCGAAAGTCTTCATATACTCCCAAAGCCCCCAAAATGACTTTGTTTTCAGCTCAAGTTGAATAATTATATCTAGATTTTAATTTCACAGTGTGTGCTATAAGCTCTCAGATGTAACAGTTGGGCTGTAATTAGGGGTAGATGGTTAAGCTCCATCATCTAACCTCTCTAATTCCCACAGCTGAGTCATGAGCAAAATTACAGTGACTGGTGAGTGCCACAGAATTTGTCCATGAGGAGGTGCTGATCCTCAGAGCAGATTCTGGTGTGCTCAGGAACACAGTGATGCTGTTTCTTGTGTGTTTCTGTATTTTCTAATTTTTGGTTTTGGTTGTCGGTTTGCAGACTTAGGAAACTTTATGAAGCAGTTGACATTTATCACAGCTCCCTTTAAAAATACTAATTCCTTATAGAAGAAACCTGTTTGCTATTCTGATTCAAGATTTCAGGATTCAGGATTTTCACCTCTGAAATCTGCTGGAGTACACATATTTGCCTGCAGCTCCTTTGCATGACATCAGTCTAGCTCCATCTGTAAAAAGCTGGCTTGTGTCTTGGCTCACAAAATGTTTCTCTCCATCTTCCCATCTTTAGGTGATGGTTTTTCACTGTCTGTGCTTGTTTCTTTGTGAAAGGCCAGGCTGTTCTGTGGCTGCCACTTCAATCCAAGGTCTAGGCTTTCGGGAAAAACAACCAAATTCTGGTTTTTTTCCTGTGACGGCAAGGCTCTGGTGCTGCTGGTGCTTGGCGAAAGCACATGACTGCAATGCTGTGAGAGGAGCTGGGGATAGGCTGAAGTGTTTCAGTCACTCATATTTTATCATTGGAGGGGAGAAAGGAAGGAAAACACATTAGTTCCAGCTATAGTGGATATTTAGTAGCACCATCTGTGAGAGTAAATCAGTCTTGAAGAGGGATGGCTGTGATGAGACTTGTTAATAAATAAAATCGAGAGCCATATTTGGGTTTTGCCACCCACACTGTTTTACAGCTGTATCACACCCTGGGAAGATACTAGATAAATAATGTATCTGAGACACAGGGCAAAATCAGATTATAATCATATCTTCTGTAGGACATTTTTGCAAGGAAGGCTTGGCCTTCAGCACTATAACCACTGAGAAGCCTTGGTCTGAAATCCTGCCTTGGTTTTAGGTGTTTGAGGCTTTTCTGTTCTGGATATCAGTTAATCAGTTTTGGAAGTCAGCTTGTAACATGCTCTGAAGCTGATTTTAATTTGAGGCAGTGCTATGTTAACTGGATGATCTTGGAGATCTTAATGATTCTATTTCTTCCTCTGCAGGTCTGTTCCAATGTGTTTAATGGGGAAACTCCCTACCTCCCCCTCCAAGTTGTTTGGATATTGACTCTGAACCATTCTGGACTCAATGTTACCCTCTGTGCATAGAGTCTGGTTCCTTCCTCTCTGGTCCTAGACTCTTTCCTTTCCTACAGCTTTAAATCTTATTTTTGACTGTAGGAACTGATTTTTTTCAGAAAGAACATAAAATCTCCATTGCTGGTTTGTGCATACTTGAGGGCTACTCACATCTTCAACAGGTCATGATTGCTATAATAGCCTCTGTCCTTACTCATATGCTAGTTTGGACTAGTCAATGCACTTTGTGTTGTATTCCCCATTGTTGCCTGGAGCTGTACATGCTTTGCTGAATGCAGAAGCCCTTTGC